CTGTGCTTAAGTAAACCTAGGAAAAGTCTTTAGGACAAAATCATCGAGAAATTCTTGTGGAAGCTAGCCAATTGGAAGGGTAGATTCATGTCCCTTGGCAATAGGATTACCCTTATTAAAGCAACCTTAGCTAACATCCCTATTTTCCAAATGTCTCACTTTTGGATCCAGTGTCTATTGCTAATCGCCTCGAAAAATTTATGAGGGGTTTCTAGTGGAATGGGGATTCTAAGGGCCATAAATTCTACTTGGTTGCTTGGAAACGGATTTGTATCTCCAAAAAGAAAGGGGGCCTTGGCATCAAGAAATTGATCCTAATGAACACTGCCCACCTTGGCAAATGGTGGTGGAGGTTTAGTTTCCCCCATCCTTTGCTTTGGAAAGAAGTAATTTCGGCTAAATATGGTCTTAGGGCTAATGGTTGGCCCCCATCTTTTCCTATGCGTCGCGCCTTCGGTGCTTGGAAGTCCATCTCCTCTATCAAATCTGCTTATAGCAGTTTCATTAGATTTAGGGTAGGAAACAAGCACAGAGTCAGATTTTGGAAAGACCTTTGGCTAGGAGATTATGCACTTGGACAGATTTTCCCTTCTCTTTTTCTCTTAGCTGCGAACCAAGATGCCACGGTACCTACGTGGAATGAAGGGGATCATCTTTTGTGTGGACCCCAATCTTTAGGCGAATCCTTCAAAAGTCTGAAATTAATGACTTCAATTCCCTCCTCTTGCTAACTCCTTTCTTCTCTCCCCTCTCAGGAGAAGACTCCATCATCTGGGCCCCCATGATCGGCTTTGTGTCGGTTTTGCCTTTGCTTCTGCTGCCTCTGTGTTTTCTCCAAAGTATCAGCAACCAACCAGCCAATGGTGTCATCCGGGACCTTCATGGTCTCCTCCTTCTACTCCATGTTGTTCCCCTTTTCGGATCCATCCCCCATCCTTAACAAAATTTGGCATATTCCCACACCCCTCAAAGTCCAAGCTTTCACTTGGATCTTCACTCAAGGCTAGATTTTAACTCTTGATCAGCTTCAGAGGCATGGCCCTTCTTTTCCAAATCATTGTATCCTCTGCCTCCAAAAAGAGGAAACAATCCCCCACCTTTTCCTCCACTGCGAGATTTCTTCTTCCTTGTGACCTTCCTCCTCAGACTCTTTGGTCTCCAATGGGTCACCCTACCTCGCTTCCACAACTTTTCTCTTTTCTTTTCTCCCCTCCTTTTCCAAAAAACGGTCGCAAACTATGGGGCATATTCAATTCTAGCCCTCTTGTGGTTTATATGGCTAGAAAGGAACGCGAGAACATTCTGCAATATAGCCAGACACCTGCCTTCTTCGTTTGACTCTATCTTGGCATTGGTCTCCATTTGGGCTACAAATATCCCACCTTATTCCTTCCCTTAACTCATTACCGAGCCAACTGAGACTCTCTTCTCTCCCTCATTGTCCCTCCCTTACCTCATCTTAGAGCAGTGTGAGACCTGCCCCCACCAAGCATCCTCAAAATCAACTTTGATGGTTCCTCTCTAGGGAACCCCGGCCCCCCTAGATTTGGCAACACTTTAGCTAATTCAAACAAGGTTTTCATCTCTTTCTTGAGGCCGTTGGGTATTCTTGACTCAACCACAACTGAAGCAGTATTTTTACTTGAAGGGCTCAAGAGAGCCACACAAGTTGCAGCGCAATTCACAAACGTGCAAGTTGAGGCAACTCGAACAATGTCATCCTTTGGGCCTCTAGCCTCAAACAACCTCCTTGACGCCTCTCATCTATTTTTGAACAGATACCCTTTTTGTGCAGATTGCTACCACCTATCTCTTTCAAGCATATTCACAAGGAAGCTAACTCAATTGTTGCCCAGGAAGGTGTTCACAGTGCCCGTAATTGGATAACTCTTGATGCATGTCCCCAACCCTTTGCCTCTTCTCTCTTATCTACTTCCGGAAAAAAAAAAAAAAAATGGGGGGAAAAAAAAAGGGAAAAAAAGAAATAAAAATAGAGGGAAAAAAAAAGAGAAGAAAAAGAAAAAAAATAGTATTCTGAATATTCAATATCATGATCAGCCTTTAGTAAGCACGTTCTCCCCTATCTCGAAAGTATACCTTCCTTTTTATCTCTTTCTTTCCTCTCCTTTTAATCTCGCTCTTCCTCTAATTCTCTCTTCTTTCTCTTTCCCTATCTCTTTCCTCGCTCCTTAGTCTCAGAACTGAACATCCTCTTTTAGTCTTCCTCTCTCCCTCTTTTCTCTCTTCTAAGACTAAGCATATCTCCTCTTTAGAATCTTTTCTCCTCTCCTAGATCTTTTATTCTAGCCCTCTTTTGCATTCTCTGCACTTCATCGCTTTTTTTTAACAAGAGTACTTACTCTTCATTAATTAAAATGGAGTTACTTTGCTCTCTCCCTTCCCTCACAAATACTTTGGGCATTTACAGCTCGGGTAACAACTAGCCAGAAGTCTCTCCACCTCCTAATCTTTATATTTTAGCCTCTCTCTAGACTTCTCTGCTTTCTTTCTATATCTCTTCCTTCACAGGTACAATTGGCGACAACTGGTATTGATACTACCAGCTAGAGTGATGCAAAGAGATTTATCAAAATTTTAGTTTTATTTTTTTTGTTTATTTTTCTTAGGAATAGGAATTGCGTTGGGATAAGTTAGGTGGGAAGATTTTTGTGCTTCAGTTTCCGTGGGGGCTTCAGTTATCACCCAGGAATGCCTATCTTTTGGTTTTAGAAATAGATTATCTTTTAAGATAAGTTGGAATTATCTACTATTATCTTTTAGAAAGAGAAGATAACATGAGATGTAGAGAGATAGATAGAGATAGAGACTTATGTGGGAGTTAGAGAGAAGAAGATGAGAAAGAGTTTATTTTTTATTTTTTTTCTTCTAAGTGTATTTAAAGGGAAGTAGTCCCTAATTGTAAGTAGAAGAGATTGGAATTGAGTAACGTTGATATTGTGAAAAGAACTTTTTCGGGTGGACTCCCTTGCAAACCTTGAGAGATGGTATATTCTCTCAAATTGTTATTTTATTTTTATTTTTTGGTTTGTTATTATTTATCCCTGCATCAATCGGTATCAAAACTCAGGGATCCGTAAGATGGAGCCTCTAGATCAAAGATTTGAGAGACTCAACGAAGATCTGGAAGAGCGTATTACCAAATTTATAGCACAAAGTCTACTATATCTATTTCATAGCTGGCAATCTGTGGAACAAGAATATAAAGAGGTAGATCTCCATACAAAAGGCGACACTAATAACCTAAAAGAGGTAGATCTCAATACAAAAGACGACACCAATAACTCAAATGTGCAAGAAATTTAGAAAATCAATTATGAAGAAGAAGATATGCGTGATGAAGTATTCGAAATCCAACCCTATGAGTCTGAAGGAGAAATCAAGATTAAGCCCAAGATCCTAGTGTTTTACTTCGAGATAAGCATGAAGCATTTGATGAATCAGTTTATTGAAGAAATTGAAGAAAAAGTACCGAGGCACATGGTGAGACTTCATCACCAACTTTTGAGAAGGCCTCTAAAATATTTGAGCTCCATAAGCTCGAGGTTGAGTTTCTCCCAATCTGGGGAGACTGATGCATAAACAATTGTCAAAAAATTTAGTGTCATACGTATTTTTGTTTATTTTTCTTAGGAATATGAATTGCGCTGAGATAAGTTAGGTGGGAGGATTTTGTGCGTGAGTTTTAATAGGGGCCTAAGTTGTCACTAAGGAATCCCCATCTTTTGGCTTAGGAAATAACTTATCTTTCAAGAAATTAGAAATTAGCAATTATTATCTTTTAGAAAGAGAAGATAACATGAAATGTAAAGAGATAGATGAAGATAGAGACGTGGGAGCTAGAGAGAAAGAGATAAGAAAGAATTTATTTTTTGTGGGTTGTTTTATTTATTTATTTATTTTCTTCTAAGATATTTAAAGGGAATCTACCCTTGTATGATTCCTATTGAATCATATACTCGGGTGTAGGTGCAAAACGGACCACTCCTCCAGTGATTAGATAAAAAAGTCACCAAGATTTCGTGATCTACTGCCCAACCTATTCCAATTCCAACAGCTTGGACTCGGATCGTTGGGATCGTCGAAATACTTCGTATGAAACCTACTTCCCTCATAGAAGATATTGGAATTGAGTAAAGTTGATCTTGTGAAAAGTTTGTTTTGGAGTGGATTCCCTTGCAAACCAATGGTATATTCTCTCAAACTTTTATTTTATTTATATTTTTTGTTTTGTCCTTGAGAGAGGTATATTCTCTCAAACTTTTATTTTATTTTTATTTTTTGGTTTGTTATTATTTCTCCCTGCATCACAGAGGAAGGGTTCATAAGAGAAATTTAGGTTGGTGGCATGAGTCTCATGGTACTTGGAAGATGCAAACAGAGGATGGGTTCATAAGAGAAATTTAGGTTGGTGGCACGAGTCTCATGGTACTTGGAAGATGCAAACCTAGGTAGCCAGATTTACATCCTTTCTCTCTTCTCCTCTCCTCTATTTCCTCTCCATCCTCTCTCCTCTTCCCTTTCCTCTTCTCACGGGCTTCTCTTTAATGGCTTCTTCCCCTTTTTTGTATTTCACCACTTTTAGAGTTTCTGTTTGGCTTGTTTTCCTCTTATTTCTAGTTCTTCTCTTATAATCCGAGCACCAAGCTTGTGGGATACCTTTTACCACACCATGTGGTTTTCGTATACTATTACAATTTATTAATTAAAATAAGTTAACTTTTCTCAAAAATAGAAAAAAAAAAAAAGCACAAAGAAAAAAAATCCACAGAAACCATAAACAAAAAGCAAAACAACCATAGCAAAGATAAATGCCAAGCTGAAATACCAACTTAAGAGCAAACCATAAAAATTGAAAAATAATAGCAGAAGGAACACCAGAAAATTAGAAAATGCAGGATATCAAATCAATACTACAGCCAAAACAGAGAAAAATCCCTCAAAATCGAGAGAGAGAGAGAGAGAGAGAGACAGGAAACTACCTCTCGGCTCGAGATTTCCTCTTCTCCTGCTCAGAAAGTTGCACAGGCATCCCAAATCTCTCAGCCCTTTTATATTTTTTCTCTATTTCAGAAATGGGGCCAGTGGATACAGAGGGGTTCCCTGCAACAACCAAAGGCTTCGTCTCTCTATCTTCTCCATTCTCTTCACTACCTCCTTCACCTTTAGCCTGAACTTGATTTTGTGGTCGTTCCTGTTGAGCAGTTGATGAGGATTCTTGCTGCGAAGGAGGGGGTGGAGTTGAAGCAGAAGCAGAAGCTAAAGCAGTCGCAGAGGAAGAAGAAGGGGAAACAGAGGATTCAAGGCGCTCTATGAGAATGGCCTTGAGGCCTGCTGTGTCCAAACCCCTCTTTGCTAGCTCTTCTCTGAGGTCCTTCACCTTCATCTTCTGCAAATCCGTGGACATGGTGATCCTTTACCCCTCTCTCGCTCTCGCACTCTCTAAAATGCACAACCCCTCCTCTTGCTCCCTATTTCTCTCTCTAAAATGCTACCAACAAGCCCTCTCCTGAAAATCCTCTCCTAAAAATGCCTAATTACTCTGTACGCGCTCCTCACAGACAATGCTCTCTCTGTCTATGAACATTTCTTTTCGGGTTGAGAATATTATCCCAAAAAAAATCGAATGTGGAAAGATTGGGTGAATCTCCGCCGTTGATTTGTACCAAATATAATTTCAACTTATGTCCGGGATGAGGTTTGTATCATAGTTAGCAAGTATGGCGACAAATCGGCCGCTTCTAAAAGAGAACCGGCCAACGGCGGGTTTTAATTGGAACCGGTTGATAAGATCGAAACTGTTTCGATCATAGTTAAGCTTGGTTTAGCAGATCTAGTTGGAGGGTAGATACCTGTTTGGTTAGTGCACGAACCGGCCAAAATTCTAACTAATTGGGCGATTTACTACCAACCGGACCAGTTTTTGTAATATCAAGCGTTAAAACTTAAAAATGGGTGTTTTGATGCAAAAGACCGTTATTTGACACAGGACACCATTATTTGATTTAGTAAGTCAAGTATTCTATTTTTATTCATTTTTTTAGGTTTTTTCAACTTTTTAACAAAATAATTGATCCAAGTGTACACATGGACGGATTCTCAACTGAAAAAACATGAGAAATCAAAATTTTTAGCTCGTTTTTTGTAGTTCTTCATAGTTTTGAAAAGTTTTGCCCGATTTTGGGCTCCTTTTTTGTTAATCTCAATCAAAATCAGGGCCTTTTGTAGATTACATAGTTGCTTAGAAGATTGCAGTCTTAATTTCTTCAAAAATAGCAATTTTGGCGCTCAATTTTTATAGATTATGGCTGCAACTGAGTGTTTATTTTTTTAGCAGATAAATGTCTACCCAACGATCGATTTTGGACTCGTTTTTTGTTGTTTCTCAATCAAAATATAGGTCTTTTGTAGATCATAGAGTTACTCATAAGATTGCAATCCTAATTTCGTCAAAAAGAGCAATTTTGGTGCACAATTTTTAGAGTTTAGGGTTGTGACTCGGTGTTTATTTTTTAGTTGAGAAATTTCCGTCAAACGATCAATTTTGGGCTCTTTTTTTATGATTTCTTAATAAAATTTTGGGCCTTTTGTAGATCAGAGAGGTCATCACAAGATTGCAATCCTAATTTGCTCGAAAGCCAAAATTTGGTGCCCGATTTTTAAAGTTTAGGGCTGCGACTCGGTGTTTCATTTCTAGGTTAAAAAATCCCTCCCAATAATCAATTTTGAGCCCGTTTTATATCATTTCTTAGTCTAGATTTGGAGCTTTTGGAAATCAGAGAGTGCATCACAGGATCACAGTGGTAGTTTGGTCAAACTGAGCAATTTTCGTGCTCGATTTTGGGTAGAAATAAGATCCTGAGAAGAAAAACGGTGAAAAAACAAGGTATGAATTTCTTGTGACTTTTCATTTTATATTCTTTTAATATGTATTTTTAGTTGCTCTAGTAATTGTCTTTCAAATTATTTTGTTGAAAAAATAATAATGCAAAAAAGTAATTTTAAATTTAAAATAACTATCTTCAATTTTATCTCACTACCTTGCAATTTTTATTGGAAAGAACTCCGCTTTTTAAAATTTTGAATTTATCTCCAATTTTGTTTTAATGCTAAAAATCTAAACTTGCGGCATGTATTTTTTTTTTTTTGTCTTTAATGATTTAATCTAATATTATGGTCATATTTTATTTTATTTTTTTGTTAATCGAAATTTGTTTTTGCGATACAATTGTTAAAAAATTTATTTTAAATATTAAAAAGTATATTTGTTCATTTACTTAGATGCATTAATGTACAATCGTGTACCCCTTATGTTCTTGTAGACATTGTAAAAAGTTATATTACCTATATTACTATTGCATGAACGTAATGTTGTGAATTTGAATGAAGTAATTTTAATTCTCTCATGACCAGGGCATGTTGAATGTTCATCTCTAAGTATCACTTTCTCACATGAGGCTCATGATTATTATACATAGATTTTAGCTGATATTTTGTGACTAGCAAGTAATGCAATTCCGCTGAATACCACATGGATGCATTTGTTGATTCAAATTCAAAGAAAATTTAGTTGGCAAGTCCAATTTAGTTGCAAGAAAATTCAAATTTGGTTGCAAGGCCAATTTAGCTTAGTTGAAAAGTGAAGCCATCGGGTGTTTCAGTTGATTCGAGGGACGTCTCTAGGCTTTAAAAGTAAAATTCTGATAAAATTCTGAAATTTAACATATATTTGCCATAAAATATTGAAAAATACTAACAAATAGATTTAAAAAATTGTTAATAAAGTAGTATTTGCCAAAAATGATAAAAATGTTAAAAAAAGTAGTAAAAAAATCTACTTTTTGAAAAATCTACATGTGATTAGGGTATTTTTTAAAAAATCCAAAAAATTGTGAGACCTAGTATTTATAGCCAAAATACTTCCCAATAATTGTCAAAAATCATAGAAACAATTTTTTAAAAAATATATCCCAAATTATAAAACATATCCTAAATAAATTTCTTATTTTTTTAAAAATATTATTTTTGAATTTTACTATTTTTTTAAACACCCAAGGAGCTTTGAAATTTTTATAACTTATTACAGGATGTACTATTTGTAAGATTGATAATTCTTTTTTTCTTTATATCCACACATCTCGAGTATTAAATGATTATTTCAAGGGTTACATGATCTTGAAACACTCTCTTTTAGAGGATTTTTGAGATGCGTCTTACTTCAATAGTATAACGTTGCAACCTTGTATAAACTTTTTTCTTATATTTATATGTACTACACTATTAGGTCAAAGTTAAGGGATAAACACATGTCGCAAGATTAAAAAAGGACCAAATCTTTAGAGAGATGGCGTAAGTGTCAGACTCGTTTTCCCTAAACCCCATGTAGTGCATGCAGCCTGGTGCAAGATGTGCGGGTAGCCTGGAGCATGTGGGGTAAGGCAGCCTGGTGCGCTTGGCACAGGCAGCTTGGTGCATGTGATGTAGCTAGATAGTGCATGTGGAGCAGGTGGAGTAGCAGCATGGTGCATGTGGTGTAAGTCAAGTGGTGTGTGCAGTGTCGATGGCTAAGGGTCGAGTAACCCCTTGGTGCATCAAGCAGCACATATACCACTTTGGCAAAGTGGAACTACAACTCACGGAAATCCAGTTCTTTATGCTTAAAGCATAGTTAAGAAGGGTATGTAAACCTCTCCCTTAACCTGTGCGAGAGGCCGTGATATGTAGTGCTAGAAGCATGGTGCACGCACAGACGGTTGGTGGCTAAAGCCCCTTTGGTGGGAGGCCTTGGGCAGAGGATAATGTAGGCTGGTGGCTAAAAAATGGCTTGACATGACGAGACATGGTCAAGGGGACCATGTGTAAGAGACGAGCCATGCACTTGGCTGGACAGGTGTGTGAGACAACTATGAGGGTTCAAATAGTGTAACTGCCCAGGCATGGACTTATGTAACAGCGATAAGCCTTAATGCGTGAGTGGTAGTGCATGTGTGTGAGTGGACCCTCGTAACCGCACCATGTAGGTGCAAGATCAACCAATCCCTAGAGTAGTGGAATGACTAGGTGTAACCGAGCCCCTCCACTCAGGAGTTAGAGGACATGTATTTAGGGAGTGGGGAAGGTAGGCATAACAGCCATCATGAGTGTTAGGCAGTTACACCTTGCTGGCACAAAATGTGGGATGTGGGTGGTTAATGTCTAACTGGCCTAAGTGGTGGGCGGCTAGGTCGCTGATCCAGAGTGTGTGGTGGGTGGCCTCCATGCAACAGGTCATAGTAGTGGCATTACCTTTATATGCAATGTGTCATTTGAAATTCGAATGCAATATTGGCGCTATAATTACACTATACACATTACAATTGTATAGTGGAACACACTAGGCTGAGGCCCTTGGATGTAGTTGCTTTCGTGTGTGCGCCCTTGTGTGTGTGATTGACTCTATCTCTGTGCAGTGTGTGAAGGTTGGCCTAACCTTAGTCGTGCGAGGAATGAAGCTTGGCGTTGCATGGGGTGTAATGAGAGATTTACCCTTGATAGTTGGTATTAGAGCTTAAGGTTGGCACGATGAGATCGTGGCTGGTGGTAGGGCTGATCTACATGATCGTGTTGTACACCATGAGATGCAGTTAGAAGAACTCAGGCAAGGAACCCAGGATGGTGGGTTAAGGCAGAACCCTGCTGTCTTGGAGGCCCGGTTCAGTACTTTGGAGAAAAAGTGGAGGGGCATTGTGGTGCCTGTGATGCTCATATGGGAGGGCTCATAAACGACCTTAAGGCTTTCACTGAAACCTTCAAGGCAAATCTCTTGACCTTATAGGAAGACATGACACTTGCAAGAGGACCTTGGATAGCACTAGTTGCAGGTTAGACTCGGGTGCCAGAGCTACAAGTGTTCAAAGGCCAGCTGGACTCCAAGGTGTTGGAGAACTTCTTGTGGGACATGGAGCAGTATTTCGAGGTTGCTCATGTCCATGAGAACGATAGATTTGGCATTTGTACCATTTACCTCACCGAAGATGCGAAATTCTAGTGGAGGATGAGGGTAGTGGACACTTCAAGGCCCAAGATGAGCACTTGGGAGGCCTTGAAACAATAATTGAAAGAGCAGTTCTTGCCAAGCAATGTGGCTTGGGTGACTCATGAGGCTTTGGGAAAACTTCCCCAGACAAGTTTGGTGTGTGACTACATGAATAGGTTTGTGTAGTTGATGCTATATATACAAGCCATGACTTAGGAGATAAATTGTTCAACTTTGTGTCTAAGCTGCAAGGTTGGCCCAGGCCAAGTTGAAGAGGCAAGGCGTGTGGGATTTGACCACTGTTATGGCGACAGCAAAGGGCCTAACATACCTTAATCTTCATGGGTTGGTGGGGTCAAACCATGAGAGTGTGCCATCGACTATGAATGGCGAGAGGGTGGCATGCAGAAATGGAGCTAAACCTGAGAAGGGGGATAGCCAAAGAGAGAGAGGCACCCCGGAAGGCCTGCTCAAGTGATTTCATGTGTGGAGACAACCATCGAGAGAGAGAATGCCTGCAAAAGCAAACCCTTAATGCGGTGAACCTGGTGCGGAGGACGAGGAAGCCCT